TTTATGCATATGAAATAAAAAGTCAATGATCAAATGCAGATTCCTTTTGTAAGAAAGGAGAGTAATAAATAGTAAATAAATAGTGGTCAAAGTAATGTGATAGTACAAGTACCTATTACATTTTTATATAAATAATGGCAATTACAAGTCGTACATTATTTAGGAATGCAACTGTCATTATATAATAGATAAGAATTATCTGAAGACGAATGGAGAATTTAAATGTTCGTTCAATAACTTTATTTATTTCACTTATTTCACAACTTTATTTATTTCATGATTTGTCAATGGCCCCACAAATTGTCACATCCTTTATGACTACAAGACAGTTCTCATTATAGCCATTATATACACATGTATCTGCACACTTCCACTGAATTGTAAAGTATGAACAACACTATTTTCCTTCAATAAAATAACTGCTATTAATATAATAATGATATTCCATTTTAATTCAAGTATTTAATAACATGCTGTTCAAAAATTACAACGTACTGGTCTTGATTTTCAACATCAAACAAATGTATTTTGTCACTATAACCGACACTAATTGTAATTTAAATATTTCATATTGTGTACTGTAAATCAATCTTACTGCTGATATTCAACTCAACCTCTGTACCTTTATTGTATTCAAAGAACATTCTTACTGATAGATATACACAAAAGTTATGCTTCTAATGTAACAGGCAGCACGGGTCATTGCTGCCAGAAATATATGGATGAAAACCATTGTTACACTTATAGGCTCTGGTCAGCAAAAGCCTCATACTGCTCAATCATCAGGTTCGGACATTTGAATAACAACACATCATGGCCCGGGTTTTGTATAAAAAGACCAAAAAAGATGGTCAAGGTACAACCTATCCAGTGTCAACCACCAACCACCAGCATGGGCAAGGTAATCTGATCTCACTCACATTAGCTACCGCTTTTTACATGTAAACTGGGCATCCTATATTCTGGTAATATATTTAAACAGGAACATTATTTTGCTATTTGCTATAGGAAGGAGTACTCCTAGAAACTCTGTAATTTAACATTATCTGTGTCTGAAAATGGTGCCATTAGACTGCATGCTTGATTATTGGGAACATTTGGGATATTAACTGTCTACACTTTTCCTGTAGATCACCTTTTACGAGGAGAGAAACTTCCAGGGGCGCTCTTATGACTGCATGTCCGACTGCCCTGACATGTCCTCCTACATGTCCCGCTGTAACTCCTGCCGGGTGGAGAGCGGTTGCTTTATGGTGTACGAGCGTAACAACTTCATGGGCCAGCAGTTCTTCCTGAGGAGAGGAGAGTATCCCGACATGCAGCGCATGATGAGCATGGGCATGATGTTCGATAACATTAGGTCCTGCAGAATGATCCCCCAGGTAAAACATCATATCTAACATGGTATATCAAACATTAATGTGTAATATCTTATTTTAGCATAACATTCAAAACGCATATGCATCTGAAAAATATATGTACATTTTTATGATCACGCCACAGCACCGGGGATCCTTCAGGATGAGGATCTATGAGAGGGAGAACTTCGAAGGTCAGATGATGGAGCTGATGGATGACTGTGAGTCCATCCAGGACCGCTATCGCATGTCTGACTGCCAGTCCTGCAATGTGATGGACGGCCACTGGTTGATGTACGAGCAGCCCCACTTCAGAGGCAGGATGATGTACATGAGGCCTGGAGAGTACAGGAGCTTCAGAGAGATGAGCGGAGGCATGGGTGCCGGCGGCATGAGATTCATGAGCATGAGGCGTATCAGTGATATGTGCAATTAACTGTACTTAATTGTTCATAGGCATAATAAAATGGTTGAAGAGCTTTCATAACTAAATTGTCTTTCTAACTGCACACCTTGTTTAAAATATGGTTTTACATTGATTGTACTGTCACAGGTCAGTATTAAGTTAAACTTAGTACAAAGACATCCATCAAATATTATAATTTTTTGTACTAGCTTCGAGTTTATGGTTGTATTTAAATGGTTAAATCTCCGCAAACTTAGTAACCACGTAAGAAAGGCCTTGTCAGGGAGTAGACCTAGTGTGTCATCAGAGATGGATGAACATTTCAGAAGGACAACCACCTCTGTAGCATCATCAGTCAGGTATTTTAGGAGGATTGGCAAACGGGAGCCACTTTTGAGTTGAACGTATCCATTACATTCTGATTAAATGAGGAAATAAATTATCTGGTCTTAAGACACAAATCTAACTATTAGGCATGACAACTTGCAAAAAAAACAGTCATAACCTGGATACTACCATCCCTATGGTTAAAAATGTTGGCGGGAGTATCATGCTATGGGGATGTTTCTCAGAAGCTGTGATGAGGAGACTGGTCATGATTATTACAAAGTTAGACAAAGCAAAATACTGAGGTATTCATGAGAGGTTCATGAGAAAAGTTTTATCGAGAGTGCCAAATTGATCTTTCAACACACCAATAACATAAAGCACACAGACAAGACATAATATTAGGCGTTGGGGCTGAATGGTCATGTAATAGATGCAAGCTTTAAGTCAGTAGAATGAACAGAACAGCAGGGTGATATGGTTTTGACCCATGTTGGCTGCAGAAGTCACATCAATGTTCTTTGTACTAGGAGGGAAATATTGTGGCGTTACCAAGTGTGTTTTTGAGTGGACAGGCCTTCCTTTCCAGTAGGAGCAGCTCTGTCTTCTAAAGTGAGAGTTTGATGCGGTGGCGAAAGTATTTTTTTACTTGAGACCTTGAGGCATGTTCAAATGTTCTTTCTCCTAAAACCACGGTCATATATTCTGTGCACACAAATGACCTACCTGCTAGATACACCTTCATCTTTTTACATTCTGTATATAGACACTTGTATTTTTTGATAGTTGTTATTGCCATATGCCATAACTGACCTAAATATACCTCATTCTGTATTATCAGTATAATGACTCTTCACTTGATCCAGTTTTTTATTATTATAAGTTGTTCTCAATTGGCCTATCTGGTTAAATAAAAAATAAAAAAGAGCATTGCAATATCTTTTTTTTATATCCCTGAAAGGCCCTTTAACCAGGGACTTAGACCTAGGACAATATCAGGCTCTGGACCTGGTGTATATTATCTTTTGGGTCATTTGGATATTGTTTGAAATCTTTTTATGAAATGTATGGAAATAGCTATCAAGGGTAATTGCAATGCCTCCTAAAATTGGACTATTTGGGCTATATACTTGTTTTTTTTGCGACTTAATTGAGGCGTGTTGAATCATAATCCACAATAAAGTGTGAGCGGTGAATGAACATATTAAGGCCAAGAACTGTGTCAAATATATGTATTAATTATTCAATCTTCTTCAAAGATGTACCTACATTTAGATTTAAGTACCATTTCTTGTGACCCCCCAAAAATATTCACTGTAAAATAATGAAATTGTAAGTAATAATCAATTTTTTTCAATGTGGCTGGACATGGCAATCGGTTACATTTTTTCCCTGCCCGGACAAGAACAATCAACACTCTAATCTTAATAACAGAAATACATTTTTTCATATCTACTGAAATTACTTTTTAAACATCACTTTTTATAAATCATCTGCAATAATATGCATTTTATATGGCTAAGGCTGTGTTCTTATGGGCAAGGTAAATTATGAAATGTTATATGTATTTATCTTATTAGCAAATATTTTGGTTTTCAAGGTATTTAAAAAGATGCATAATGGTCATTGTAATATGTATTTGTTTTAGGTACACACTCTAAAGTCTTTAATAAATAGGTTGGAATACTAAAATATGAATAAACTTTTTACAACATGAGACCTAATACATAGATTCTTTTGATTCATTAAGTATGCTGAATCTTTGTAAGGGGGTATTGAGTATAGGAACAGAATGTAACAACATGTTTTATTACTCATTGTGTCCAGACAATAGGATGGAACGTGGTCCTAACTTTAATTTATTTTATTGTTTGTCTTTGTCATGAGACTTTCAGTTTGGAGTAGCAGCAACACATCTGATGGAGCCAATCCTGGAATTGAAGGCTCCCAAGTCACTGTATCTCCTGCCAGGCCTCTGGAGATACTGCCTGCTTCTATAGTTAGGATGCTCATAGAACAGCCAATACCCCTCCATTACATGGAATGTTACCAGGAATGGATATCATTGTAATGGATTTGATCATAAAAGGAAGGGCAATTGTCTGAGAACAAGGAGAGGTCGACAACGTTAGTTTGCCTTTACTGTTAAGCTTCCTGTTGAATGTTTATTGCCGTGTGTACTACCTACATACTTGTTTACCAGGAAAGAGGAAAATAGGCTCACTTGAGGGATCATGCCGCAGGATTTGACACAATCGTTAAAGCCCATCCAGCACTGGTAATCAGGATACTCGCCTCTTCTCAGAAAATACTGGTACCCTGTGTAGTTTGAGTGCTCATATACCATCCGGCAACAATAAAATTAAAATAATAATGTTGTGCATGAAAATAAAATAACATGTTTATCGCTGTTAAGACAACCGTAATATGTTTTGTTTAATATAAATGATCAGAAAATGGAGTCTCTCCTGTAGATGTTGATTGTCCTTTTTAAGACTAACAATGAGAAAGAATGTGCAACAGGACAAAAGATGTGCAGCGAAACAACATGCTTTACCTTTCCCATTGTGTTACATTTCATCACAGTGCAACACTGACTAGGCAAGCTACTGCCCTTTTATATCCTCTAGGGATAACACATTGTTATGTTAATCAATTAACTTTAGATGTCAGCTTTTTTTAAAGATTGTATTGCTGGCAAATTACAAAAGGGTAGATGTTTTTCTCTGTCAGCAGGGGAATTTACCTTTTTGTGTTGCAGACAAAGACTGAAATGGTTCTAATTAATTACATATATACTGTATACTGTTTATCACTAGAAAATCTAAATGTGTCATTTAAGGAACAATTTACAGAATATCATCCCAAAACTACACCAACTGGCATGCTATAGTTCAGTTGGAGCAATTGGTGTAGTTTAGTGGTATAGTGCATGCTTTGTATGTATGATGTCCTGGGTTCAATCCCCAACTTCTCCCCAGGTCGCCATTGCAAATGAGAATTTGGTCTCAATCGGCCTACCGGGTTAAATAAAGGTTAAAAAAACTGAAGCAGAACTAATCAGAAAGGGTTTGTGCTAGCAAACTTGATAGACATTGAGTATTTGCTAAATCATTATTGTTATTGTCTAACAAACTGCATTTTGTTCTCTCTATTATTGCTGCCTACAAATATAATTGATAAAATGTTTAAACACACAGCAAACTATAAAAAAAAAATCAATGATATGAAAAAGACAGATTGGACTCTGCTTGCCTGGTAGTTTCCATACTGTTTCTGTGGTTAGGTTTTGGAATATTTCCAGTCAAAGATGTGCTCAGGCCACCTGTGGCCTCAGTCTCCATTTATTTAGAGCCAAATGATGGGCTCCTGGTGTGGCAAACAACCCTGGTCATATGAATGAGTGTGTTGATAGTGTTTCACTCTGCCCCCCAGTGACCAACAGGAGAACAATCCTGAATTTAGTTCTAGTGTGGCTCATTTTCACTGTAATGAATAGCTGCTTTCTAATACGCCACACAGACAACTTATTTACCAGGCCAAACCATTTGAATGTTCTTTGCAACATCTTAACTATTGAGGTATCAAAATGGAAAACTTTTCCACAATACCTTGTTCTTTCAAAATGCAACAACTCAGACTTTGCCTCCAAACACAATTTAGTATACAATGAATGATTTGTGTTTTTATTTAGAATTTGTGGCCTGTGTCTTCTAAATGGTTAAAGCTGCTTAATCCAGCACAGGTGCTAATTTGACATGGAATCTGCGCTTTGATTAACGCTACAATTTTCTTCTCTGTTTCCAACACTTTTTCCCCAATAAAATCAGATAGAAAACTAGAATGAGACTGGGTCGCTCAATAAAGAATATATATATATATATTTTGAGTGTGAGAAGTTAAAACAAGTGTAGTAAACCAACAGCTTTGGTATTATAGACAAACAATGAGGAAACAGGCAAGTCTAAATAAACGTCTAGCGGCACGACTTGCCCAATAATTAAGTTATTTAATCCTAGTCATGCATTGCCCATTTGCATGCACCAACAGTTGTATCTATAAAGAGGCATGACTGTTTGCAGTACATATTAATTTAGTATCCTAGTCAATCAATCAATCAATGAAATGTATTTTATAAAGCCCTTTTTAAAACAAAGTTTCACAAAGTGATAATACAAACACCCAGACTATACTCGACAGAGCTCACATCAACAAGTTGATACACAGCGTCTGTTATACTGAGAACTTTTGTGAATTCGCCATCATGACCTGGAAATTGGGGCTGAGAGGTTTCTGTTTTGGGTTTTTATCTCCCTCTTATGGGTTGTGGGTAGTGGTGTTTATGTTTTGACATGTTGCACACCTGTTCCAAGTTTTCATCAGCGCATCTGCACCAGTTCAGCTCATCATGGGGAGGACTTTTAAGATGCCGTCAGACCTTTAGTCCTTGCCGGATCGTTAAGTAATTATGGTTTATTTGAAGGCACTCCTTGTTCATAATGACATGTTTTTCATAAGACAATTTTTATTTATTACAGTGGACTGTTATTTTGAAATTCCCCATGTATTTATTTCAAGGCACTCCTTTTTCATAATGCCGTATTTATTTCATAATGACACATTTCCATTTGGTACATTCAAATGAATGGGGCGTGGCCATCTCACAGCTTCAGACCAAAGCAATAGTAATAGTTTGTGTGCGGACCTTATGGAGACCTTGGTAGTCTTCGAGATACAATGCTAACTTTAGCAGATACTCGGGCGGATAAGTGCTCTTCAAGACATAAATTGTTAATGAATGGGGCGTGGCCATCTCACAGCTTCAGACCAAAGCAATAGTAATAGTTTGTGTGCGGACCTTATGGAGACCTTGGTAGTCTTCGAGATACAATGCTAACTGTAGCAGATACTCGGGCGGATAAGTGCTCTTCAAGACATAAATTGTTAAATTGCTTGAGATTGATTGAGCACCGTATTCGTGTGGAAGATGTCCAACGAACTTCAAGCTCAGGTGCGAGTCGCCCATCTGGATATGCCCAGGCGATATGCTCGCTACTTTTGTGTTGTCTGGGTCTTTCTGGTTGTTGGGTTTGAGGTGGCCACATCTGCAGCTCTAGCAGGTGACTGCTGTGCTGCGTCACTGTCCGGTAGGGTGACCACCTGTCCCGCTTTACGTTGTACTGTACAGCAATTTTACCCTTTGTCCCGCCTCACGCAAATTGAGCATCTGTCCCGCTTTTTCATTCGACCCTGCCTAATAAATACACGGATACGTCCATAGGCGTACTGTTAACTTATGTCCTTCCTTGTCCAATAGTTCTGAGGAGCGGTACAGGCATAAGTTACACACATTCTGGCGGGCCATAATGGCACAAGCGACTTTCATTGGAGCTGACGCCACAGAACAGCCAATAGACGCGCGAGCTGCCTCGCCTAGTTCTCGATAGGCTGAGTCGTACGTCAATCAAACTGTTGCCTGGTGCACGAACGCCTCAACATTGTCAACAATCTCAAATTGGAGAGCGCGGCAGCACGCTGTTCGGCCAGGTTAAGCAGCCATGGCGAAAAAGAGAAGATGCACTTTTAATAGAGAATGGACCGCAACATACTCATGGCTAAGACCTGTAGATGGTGAAGCAGAGAGAGATTTTTGCATTGTATGCAAAAGCAGTTTTTCTGTAGGACATGGTGGAGAATACGATGTGAAGCGACATGGTGCGTGTGAGTACCACAGAAAAAAACACATCATCAAAAAACATGCAAATCAGTGCAATAATTTTTCAATAAACCAAATGACCCAGAGGCTGACAAAGTTTCGGCAGCAGAAGTGACGAGCATTTATCATGCCGTACATCACACACATTCATATCGCTCTACCGACTGCAGTAACAAGTTAGCCTCAATAATTTTTCCAGATTCTGAAATAGCTAGAAAAATGTTGTGTGGCTGCACCAAAGCAACATCTATTGTAACAGATGTCCTTGCTCCGGTCTCAGTGGAAAAATGTATTCAAGAACTGACATCACCTATGCTTGCGGGTGGAAAGCACACACGTTTTTTTCAGTGGCGTCAGATGCTTCTAACCACGGCAGCACCAAGCTTTTCCCCCTGGCAGTGTAGAGTTGTTGATTTTTAAGAGGATAGCGCAGAGACGTCAGAATCAATTCATCGCCAGATTACTAACAAACTGAAAGAGAATGGCCTAAGACTTTTTTTTTATCCCATATAGCCATTCTTATCAAAAAGATTTTGGTTTACCTTATTTGCACTGAAATACTTTAACTGTCTATAGGCAAGCCCTAAATATTTTGCACTATATAGGCTAGGCCTTATATTTTGTTGAACTTAAATAAAATAGGCCTAATATTTGTTTTGTGTCTTGTATTTTAAGGTGAATTTTATTCACTAAGAGCATTTTTTTTTGTAAGTTTCGTAATGCCTGGTTCTTTGGACAGTTGATTAATTTGATAGTCCCAATAAAGACGAGATGTTGCAAAATTAGCGTTTTGTCTTTTATAGGCCTATGCCTTAAGCTGTAGAAACTTTGGGTGATATTTTGGGTCAGGTATTGTCTTAATCTTTAGTCGGTGGGTTTGAAAAATGTTTCTTGGTAAATTAGATAGACAATACATCTTAAGTTTAAAGTTATTACCTCTGTCCCACATTGTCCCACTTTACCATGCTACTTGTCCCACATTTTGTCTGACTGGAGGTGGTCACCCTACTGTCCCGTCCAGGCGGTTCGCTGCTGTCAGATGGCCACGCCCCATTCATTTGAATATACCAAAAGGAAATGTGTCATTAAGAAATAAATACGGCATTATGAAAAAGGACTGCCTTAAAATCAATAGATGGGGAATTATGGAAAACATTATTTTGAAATAAAACCTATTTCTATACATATGAAGTGATTTATACATTTATATTTACACGTGTTTATGTAATTATTGCCTAATTTCATAGCTATATTTATTATTTCATAGCTGTATTTATCTATTTAATATTGACGCAAATGGCGTTCCATACAAGTGGGCCTGTGAATGTGAACCTCATATGTGGACGAGATCACGACCGTCGCATCGACCAGCACAGTTTCTCTCCTTTGGACCTTTTTAAAAAAAATACCTTTGTTATCTCCTTTACCTGTGTGTGGTCTGCATTTGGTCTCTCTGCCATAATGAGTCGTGACAAGAACAAAAGTTGTCCTAAAACCGAGCCTTCAGAAGCACCAAAGCAAACCATTGATTTGACTGAGGATAGGCCATCCACACAAACTAACAGAAGTCTATCCGATAAACAATATCTCAACCAGTCGAGAACATGTCCTCGTAGCCCAACATGGGTCTCCAATCTTTCAAGAGAAGGAAGAGATTTTTTTTTAACCAGAGGCTTACTTTCTGCACCTTTAAGTGAGGTTGGCACAGATTCTGAGATTAGGGAGCAATGTATTATGTTCATCATTGGTGGACCAAGCACAGCAAATAACTCTGAGTAATTTGGCTAAGCCCCGCCCCCCTTAGTTACTGTTGCTACGTCCGACAACTTCATCTGGGCTCTGGTTTGGTATCAACATGGCTTATGCTGTGACAGCTCTTCCTGCTAAAATTTTATCAAACTTCTATAAAGCAGCAAATAAAGTGTCAGATAGAAGTAGGCAAAAGGGGCTGCAATATGCGTTTGAAGGCTCTATTCAAGACATACAGGTGAAACGCAAGAAACAACAAGGCATTCAAATAGAGGCAAAAGCATACCGGTCACAGTCAAAAATGAACCACCACATATAGGCTACTACTAATCGAGACGGAGGCTGGGACTAACAATATCAAGGAGCAACACTGTTCAAGCAAAGCTGGGTAGGTTGTTGGGAACTCTGCTTGTTGTCAGGCATTCTGTTATGCATGTTTTCTGTAATCCAAAGACAACACGTGTCAGAATTTGACTTTGGTTTTGGGAAGGGGAAAAAATGGACACTCACCTC